CCCAGGGGGAAAGCTTGAGTCTCTGTCTAAAAAAAAAAAAAAAAAAGACCAAGACCTTATCTCTACTAAAAAGAAAAAAAATTAGCTGGGTGTTGTGACAGGGTCCTGTAGTCCCATCTAATCTACTCAGGACACTGAGGCAGAGAATCGCATAAACCCCGGACTTTGAGGTTTCTATGAGCTAGGCTAATGTCATGACACTCTAGCCTGGGCAACAGAGTGAGACTTTGCCTTAAGAAAACAAAAACAAAAACAAAACCTCAGTGTGATACCACCTTACAGCCATTAAAATGGCTACTATCAAAAAATAGAAAATAATAAATGTTGATGAGGAGGTAAAGAAATTAGAACCCCTGCATGCCATTAGTGGGACGTAAAATCATGTAGCTACTACTAAAAATAATATGATTATTCCTTGGGCGGCACCTGTGGCTCAGTGGGTAGGGCACCAGCCCCATATACCGAGGGTGGTGGGTTTGAACCCAGCCCTGGCCAGCTAAAACAGCAGTGACAACTGCAACAAAAAATAGCCGGTGTTGTGGTGGGCACCTATAGTCCCAGCTACTTGGGAGGGAGGGTGAGGCAAGAGAATCGCCTAGGCCCAGGAGTTTGAGGTTGCTGTGAGCTGTGATGCCACGACACTCTACCAAAGGCAACAAAGTGAGACTGTCTCAAAAAAAATAATAATAATAGTAATAATATGATTATTCCAAAGAATTGAAAACAACACATCATCCAGTAATTCAATTTCTGGGTATTTACTAAAAAGAATGCAAGCAGGGGCCACAAAGAGATATATGTATACTCATGTTTATTTCAGCATTATGCAGAATAGCCAAAAGGTAGAAGCAACCCAAGTGTACACCAACGGAAGAATGCATCTATAAAATGTGGTATATACATATAGTAGAATTCAGCCTCAAAAAGGAGCAAATGTTGACATATTTCACCATGGATGAAACCTGAAGACATATGCTAAGTGAAATAAGGCAGTCACAACCAGACAAATACTATATGATTCCATTTATCTGAGGTAGCTAGACTAGTCAAGTTAGACAAAAAGAAGAGTGGCTTCAGGGCCGTGGGGACAAAGTACGGGGAGCTGTTGTTCACAAACACAAAGTTTCAATTTTCAAAGAGAAGAAAGCCCTGAAGATTGGCTATACAACAATATGAATATACTTAACACTACTAACCTATACACTTAAAAATGGGTAAGGTGATAAAATTTTAGTGTACTCTACTACAATCAAAAATTCAAAAAATTAAAAAATGTTATTTTTCAGTGGGCAAGGACATTTGCCCACTGTAAATAAACATTTCTCCAAATGGCCAATAAGCACATGAAAAGATGTACAATATCAGTAGTTGCTAGGAAAATGCAAATAAAAATTACAGTGAGATTATCACTCTATACTCACTAAGACTATAGGTAACAACAAATTGTTTCTATAGCTTTTGCCTCACATGGAAAGGCAAAAGATCCAAAACAACCAACACAATACTGAAGGGCAAAAACTAACACTACCCAACCTCCAGATATAAAGACATTCCATAAAGCTACAGTAATCAAGACAGTTTGGAACTGACCAAAGAACAGACAAATAAATCAATGGAACAGAATAGAAAACCCAGAAATAAACTCACACAAATATAGCCAGCTGATCTTTGACAATGGAGCAAAGGCCATTTCTCAATGGAGAAAGGACAATCTTCTCAACAAATAGTGCTGAAACAACTAT